TCCGTCTCTGTCTTTCAGGTGAGCGCACGTGCCCTATAGCAGAAACTTCTCAAAAAAATATATTTTATTTAATTTCATGTATTATTTATTTTAATTTGACCAGAGAGAGACACACATTGAGAGAGAGAGAGAAGGAAAGTGAGAAAGCAAGCCACCAGGTCCAGGACTTGAACTGTGGTCAGCCATGTGGGAGTGTGCAGCTCCTTAACCACCTCACCACTTGCTGGTCCCATGGCATTCCTTATCACCACAATCCCATCAGCTAGCTGTGCCCAGTGAGAAGCATGAGAAGCAGAGGCTCACAAACACCAATGGAGGCAAATATCTTAATACCTAAAACATTCTGCCTAGATGTATTGGAAGCTAGCAGAAATAATGCATGTGGATGCAGAGACTAGTTTTAGAAGAAACTAGTTTTAGAATACATTGTACGGCACTGCAAACTAAAAAAGGACAGAATGAACAGATATGTCTAAGGTCAGGCAACCTCTATTCAGTTCTTCCTGGGTCACTCAGTTCAAACACAAAAGCGTTTGTATTCACTTAATTAATCCTATGCAACCAGGTTACTGAGCAACCCTCATAACCACTTTACAGAAGACTACAGGACTTGCTTTCTCACTCTCTCTCTCTCCCTCTCTGGTCAAATTAAAATAAATAAACGAAGTCAAATAAAATAATTCTAAGAAAACAAAAAAAAAAACGGTGGGATGGGTGGAGGCCAACAGGTGGTGTGATGCTTGAGGGCACTGGACTCAGATATGGTTGACTGCAGTTCAGGTCCTGGACCTGGCAGCTTGCTTTCTCACTTACTCTCAGTTACTTTCTCTCTCTTCTCTCTCTTTCTGGTCAAACTGAAATAAATAAATAAAGTTAAATAAAATAGTTCTAAAAAAAAAAAAGACTGGGGACCAGCAGCGTAATGGCTATGTTGCTGGACTCCCACGTAGTCGACAGCAGTTTGAGTCCCGGACCCGGTGGCTTAAACTCCCGCCGGGCGCGTGTGCGTGCGTGCCCAAGATCCCAAGAGGAGAATGGAGGAGAAGGGATTGTGATGTGACCATCCCCCCTAGTGGGTGATTTCTCGCTTTCTGTCGCTCTGTCTCTGTCCGTCTGGTGAGCGCACGCGCCCTATAGCAAAAACCTCTCCAAAAAAAGAAAAAAAAAAAAAAAGACTACAGGAAACAGACAACAGATTGTTTCTTAGGATCTTCTCCTTTTAGGGGAAACAATTTAGGTCACCTATGACAGAAAAACCAGGGGCTAGGAGGCTGGGCTAACCTGAGCAGTATTCCTAGCACAGGCAAGGTGCCTGGGTTCTAATCCTGACTCTGTCATTTTATAGTCTATAATCTTGGGCAAGTTATCTCACTTCTCTGCTCTCTGGCCATTTTAATAGCACTTACTTCTAAAGATGGTGGGGGGCACTGGCCTAACATACATAAGCATTAAGAACAGTATCTGGCACACAGAATGAATTATACTGGTGTTTGCTATTATGTTTATTCTTTCTACATAGAACAGTGGAGTTGAATTAGATTCCGCCCTGCTCTAAGTCTACTTTCTAGGGAATAAAGCTGCATTATGCACATGCCTCATACAAAGTGCTAACAGGCCTACTCTCTGTGGCTCCGCTGGTGGTGTTCCAGACTGCAGAGGTGGAAGCCACATGGCTGCCATGGTTTGAATCCCTGGCCTGACAGACCTGAAACACACCACGTGTGTGCATGAATGCCAAAGATCCTGATGAGCTGACGGGCTAGAGGAAAGTGATCACAGCATAACCAGATCCTGTAAGGAATGCTTCCCTTGGGGCCAACAGGTGGTGTAGTGGTTAAGGCATGGGACTCCCACGAGGCTGACTGCAGTTCGAGTCCTAGACCTGGCAGCTTGACACTCACACCAGGCAAGTGTGTACATGCCCAAAATCCTGAGATGACAATGGAGAAAGGATTGCAGTGCAGCCTTTCCCCCAGGAGATTTCTCAATTTCTGTCTCTCAGGTGAACATACCCTGTAGCAAAAAATTTCTCAAAACAAAGGCTGCTTCTCTCTCTGGTGCATGCATATGTACTCTATCAGGAATTAAAGAAAAAAAAGAGTGCTAAATAAATATGCTCTGATGATTATTAAAGACCTTCTTGAAGTCAGCTTACATTTTGTACATCATCAAGAACCCTCATAGGGTTACGGCCAAATCTCAAAAGCAATGACAAACAAATCTCTTACTCTAACAGGAACATTAAATAGGAATGACGATGCCTTTAAACCTGCTCTTCCACATCTAAGTGAAAAGTTATAAGTGATGTAGCTGTGGCAGAATTCTAAGCTTCAAGGGATCATCTGTCCCATGTCCTTCTTTCTGTAGATAAGAAAATTGAACTAGCCACAGGGTGGGAATTAACTGACTAACCTAAATCACATGATAAATTAGTGTTAGAGACAGAATTAGAACCCACCTCTCCTGACTTACCAGTCCTCTTACTACTTCTTCACAGCAGGGTGAATCCTTTAAGCCACTCAGAAATAGTATAAACAGGTTGAGTATCCTTTGTCTGAAATGCTTGGGACTAGAAGTGTTTCAGATTTCCAATTTTAGAGTATTTGCATATACATAATGAATCCTCTGGGAATAGGACCAAAGTCTAAAGGTAAAATTCATTTATGTTTCTTACTTATACACATAAAAGTAACTGTACATACCTTACACACATAGCCTAAAAGTAAATGTACACAATATTTTTAACAACTGTGCACATGACACAAACGTTATGTATACTGAAACATCAAAAAGTAAAGGTGCTGGGGCGAGGCAGCACTGCAGTGATAATGCAATGGGACTCACATGGGCCAGGTTCTGAGTTCACCTCCCAGGATGTCCCTGAACACTCTGGACACACGTGATGTGATCTAGGCTGACTGACACTGGAGGAAGATGGTGGTACGGAGATGGGCATGCCTCTCATGGAAAAAATAAACTTTTTAAAAAAACCAAAGCCTGAGATCAGCAGTTAGTGTAATGGTTATATCACTGGACTCCCACAACATAGCGGTTCGAGTCCCGGACTGGTGGCTTAAACTCACACCGGGGGCATATGCGTGCGTGCCCAAGATCTCGGGAGAAGAATGGAGGAGAAGGGATTGCAGTGTGGCCATCCCCCCTGGGGGGTGATTTCTCACTTTCTGTCTCTCTGTTTCTCTCTTTCTGGTGAGTGCACAAGCCCTATAGCAAAAATCTCTTAAAAAAAAAAAAAAAGCAAAGGCATCATATTAGCACTCAAAAAGTTTTAGATCTGGAGCATTTCAAAGTTTGCATTTTTCTGATTAGGGATGGTCAACCTGTATTCATGTATGTGAAAGCTGAAAACTCCAAATGCAGCTTGTAAATGAAGACAACATAGGGAATCAGTGCATACTCTTTAACCTGGCTCAGCCATGACCATGTTCGGTGGAAAAAGCAACTTATGTGAACATCCACTTCCACAATTACAAAGCAAGCACAGTCCAAAGCGATCCGAGTAATTGTTAGAAATTCCACATTACATATTATCTTCAGATCCCACTCCACAGGTATGAGCATGGGTGAAATGTCTTCTACCAAGGGCTTTAGTTTGATTAAACTACCAAAAGTCTACAGGGGCATAAAAAGAGGCTGTGAAGGGGCCAGCAGGTGGGGTGGTGGTTGGGGTGCTGAACTCACACATGGCCAAGTGCAATTCGGGTGTGGGACCTGGTGGCTTGCTTTTTCTCTCTCCCCCTCTGATGAGTGCAATTACCCTATTGCAAATAGTAACAATAATAAATAAAATTAAATGAATGATTCTTAAAAAAAAAAAAAAGAGGCTGTGAAAAGTCATCCCAGTGGATGCAAATTTACAAACTAACTAAATACAATTGCAGGCTTTGTAGGGCTCCCTACTTGCCCACATATGGAGGGTCACAGAGAAAGGGGTACAAGACACCTGAGTGCACAGCCCTTCTGACTTATCCTGAACTGGAGAGATGCAGAATAGGCAAAGATGAGCCCATCAAAGGATCATCTTAGGAGATATAATTCAGAAGAAAAAAGGGGAGGAAGCCAAAAAGAGAGAGGAAACTAAAAAGAAAATTATGCTAATTTTTCAAGAGTTGAGTCACTAAGGAATATCGATACTTACTTTTATAACCCAGGGATGCAAAACCAGGGAAGTGGATATGAAGCCGGGGAAATGTCAAACGAAGGAGAACAGAAGTCCCCTGGTGCACTGAATTACCAACTAATGAACTACTGGCGTCCCTCACTCCCTGGCTATATTTACACACCCGTTTTCATCTGCACGGCTCAAAGAAATTGACTCATATTTGGAATGTGCTAATGAGGGTCCCCTGCGCGACGAATGGGGGCAGGTATTGCCATTTTCTCTTCACAAATGGGAAAACGGTGCCAAAGGCAGGCCTGATACCGCTGAGAAAGATCCAGGCTGTCTACCTCCCATTCTGGCCCTAAATCCACTAGGTCTCATCAGTGTAACAGCAGTAAGAAGTAAGCAATAGAGGTAAGACTGACCCTTACTCGGTACCACTGTCCGCTCACAAGTTTACAAGCATGTTCTCATTTAATTCTCCTAACAATCCTACGAAGCAGGTGTAATTACTATTCCTATTTTGCAGATGACAAAAGTAAGGCACAAAAAGGTTAAGTTCTTTGTTAGGGACATTCAGCTAGCAAGTGATGGAGCCAGAGTTTAGATCCGGCAGTCTCAGCGGAGTTGGGAAGGAGCCATAACACCAGGATTCCAGATGCAGGGGGCATTCTCGGGCTCCCACTTCTGCCCGGGCTAGGGAAGCAGGGCCAGGTCTGGCCCGCCCCTCCAGGGCCCAAGGACCCCCAGGAAAGGCTCCCTGAGCCGGCCGGGCGCACTCCCGCAGGTGCCCGGGCGGGGGCGCGGCCTCTGTCCCGGGACAGGAGGGGCCTCCTCGGCGTCGCCACGGCGGAAAGGAGTTCGGAGCTGCGAGAGATACCTGGGGGCTGTCCTGCAACGCCTCCTCTAGCAGGAGCTTGTCCACGGCGGGCATGGTGCGG